GTTTAAGATTGACGTAATATAAAATAAGAAATAATTATAAAATTTATAATTAATTAAAAAAAATATTTGTAGTATTTTCATAATATTAAAGTTTTTTCAAAAATACTTCTAAAAATTAATCAAAAAAATGAGGGTGAATGAAAAAATAGGGAGATAAAAGGGAATAAGGGAGAAACAAAATGGAGCAAAGGGAGAGTGAAAGAAACAAAAGGAACGAAAAAAATCAAGTGGGAATGAAAAAAAATGAAAAAAATGGAGGGACGAAATGGAATAAAAAAAATGAAAGGAACAAAGGGTAGTATAAAAAGAAGTAGAAATGGAAAAAAAATGAAAATGACAGAGGATAGTGTAAAGGAATGAAAAAGTTGAAACGGGAATGGAATAAAAATGAAAGGAACGAAGGGTAGTGTAAAGGAATGAAAAGACGAAGAAACAAAGAGGAAATAAAAATGACAGAAAAAATGAAGGAAGGGAAGAATAAAAAGAGCAAAAGAAATAAAGAAACAAAAAGAAAACAAAAAAATGGAGAAGGGATGGAAATGAGATAAACAGGGGGATCAAGTAAAAACCAAACTCATAAAATTAAAAGAAGAAATAAAGTTAGTACATCAGGAAATTATATAGTGCGAAAAGTTGCGCAAGTTTACACATCATAATATTTTGTAAGCTTCCAGACCCGCCGCAAGTTTGCGTAAGCGTAATATTTTGTAACTTTTTAAAATATTTCGAAATATTACTGTATGCAAGGCTTCGTAATTTTACGATTCGTAATATTCCGTAATTTTACTGCGTAATACTTCGCAACTTTTTAAAATATTTCGAAATTCTATGATGCGTAATGTTCCATAATTTGACGATTCGTAATATTCTGTGATTTTACACAACTTAATATTTCGTAATATTTCAAAATATTTCGATAAATAATACTTCATTTTCTGTACTATAAGTTTATATAATGTATGTTTTATTAGATATAATCATAAAAAATTACAAGTATTTATTAATATATACAGAATACATAAAAGTAAAAAA